TATATATATATATATATATAATTTCAAATATTTACGTCTATTGAGGTTTGCACGTAGGACCCGCGTGGAGGAAACGCGTAAAAGACGCGATAAAAGACTATTTGTTTACTACATGACGCATCGTTGAATGCCTTGAGCGATTTAGCGAGTGGAGAAGAAATGTCAAAACGGTCAAATTGTGTTAATCCTCTGTGTCCTGATAATAGTCCTCAATATTCTCTTCAAATACATTATACGTTAATAGATGTTACTTTGATTAGAAAAAAAAAAAAAAAAAAAAAAAAAAAAAAAAAAAAAAGAAAAAGAAAAAAAGTCGAGCGAATCAACGAGCCAGTAGTGCGAGGTAAACGTGCTTGGGTTTGTTTACTGCGCAGTTTGCACGTGGACGCGACAGGAAAGACGAGGAGAGGCAGAGGGAAGTGTGAACGACCGTGCCAAAAGAAGCTTGGCGTTTTACAGTTAACGCTAGCAAATCTTTGAATGGACTAAACGCTATAATGTATTATTTGCCGTATTATTTGTCGCGCAAATAAAATTTGTCAACACAGCTAAACTTCGAACTGTATGTTGCGATGCAAAAAGTGGTTTTATGTTAATATTCTTTCGATGAATAATAATATACACCCGCATCAATAAATAAATTCATATCTTTATAAAAAGTATATAATTATATTTTTTTTATAATAGCACAAAGAAATATATTTAGTAGCTTTATATTAATATTCTTTCGATGAATAATAATATACACCCGCATCAATAAATAACTTCATATCTTTATAAAAAGTATATAATTATATTTTTATGTAATAGCATAAATATATATTATATATTATAAATATATGAGCTTTTTTTGCGGATGATTTAATTTGTTGATTAAATATTATATTTAATCAGTGCGTTTTTTTTTATCGATAATCATCTTTGATTTGTTAAATTCTCGGTGCGAAACACACAATTTTATCGCGAATTTATCATATGTGTGACTAACGCGCGAAATTTTCTCTGCCGACTGCTTTTTTTATCGTGTGTTAGCATACTTTGCGACGTGTTAATTTACTACGGTTCTAATCGGACAAGGACTTTGACCCCGAAATTCGGCACGAAAGGTTACGGCCCGTGTAAATCTATCATCGCGATTTATAACCAGATACGGATAGAATCAAGTTCGCGTTGCATGCTGATGCGTGTACTATTTCTCGGGAAATTAGCTTGCTAATAAATGCGCAAACAAAGGCGAAAGAGAGACGAAAAGGAGGAGGGCAGTCAACTATATGTGATTACTCGACACATAAATTGCGAATTAATTATGCACCGATATCCCTTACAATTCTTCTCAATTTTCTCTTCAAATTTTTTGCGTACATTTTACGCTGACAATTATACGCTAATTTGAGAGCGTGATTAAATTCCATTGGCGCTTCTATTTATCGTGCACGAATACATACATGTTCAATATTATTGGCGAGAGTGAGATAATCGCGAGAATACTTTTGTTCGACGGACAAATAGTGGTATGCTATTATCCGTGTGTATTTGTCATTATCTTTGCCGGCGCAATTACATCTTTCCACGTTCTCATGTTAAACTTCAAGGCCGCGAATCCCGCTGTAACCGTCTCGTAAGCGGTGCACGGCGACAAAGGAACGGTGAACGAGAAATCGTGACGGCATATGAGGCAACACGAAGTGTCGAAGGTGCCGCCGTCGTTTTTGCAGAGGCAATTTCGTTCGGGCTAATCGGTACCGACTACATCCGCTTTCGCCCTTATACAAGGTGTTGAAAATCCGCTGGTTCGAATATAGCGGGTTAATATTCATATCATACTCGTCTCTCAAAATGAGTAAACAAAGCATTAATTAAAATTACCCATCCCGTTGAAATTTATTCGGACAGAAATGTTAAATAAGCTGAAATTGTAAAAATTGTCAAAAACATATTGTCAAAATATATTTAATTAAATAATGTATAATAATGATTGATAATGTAATAAAATTTGTTTTATCAAAGAAGAAAAAATATTAAACAAGCATTCAATATTCATATGTATAAAATAAAAAAATCACGTAGTTCGAAAAAATCATTTTGGTTTTCAATAGAGAATATCCTTTTGTTGAAATCACTCAAAAAAGTGGTATTGCAACTACAGCAAAAATTTTCTGGGTGCGCAAAATTAACTGAGGTACATAAATGATTAGCAAATACTGTGATATCGCATATGTTTCGCATTTAATCAATCTAAGTGACAGAGACAGAATTTATATCTGAACTGTTTGTGAAATTTAGAAAGAATGTTTTTCTGTGGCGCCTATCCATGTAAGGCCAATCATACTTGTTATAAAGTTTGACTGTGGTACACAGAAAAAATTAGCGACAAGAAACAAATGAATATATAATCCTCACATATAACATATTTGTATAATGCGCCCAATCTATCTAGCTCTTTTAAACAATTTCTCTCAATTTTTCGATGCTGCAGTTATAATTGGCAGTTATATTTCTCACAAAGATCGTTCTAGCTGTAGTATCGAAACTCATATTTATCCAATGCAGTGATTAACATTTGGCAATGGGACCTAAATTTTCTAGAAGATATTATTAGAATATTGCTGCTATAAATTCTATATGTAACAGACAATATTCTAACAGATACAAAAAATAGCGATAAATTTTTGTTGTGACACCTAGAAATCTACCTATATCAGCAAGACATTTTTTTGAGTGATGCGACCGTTTTCAAACACCCTGTATAACCTTGCTGTCCGAGAGGC